TCTGTATAAACATGAACATCTGTTTTTATACTCAATACCCTCTATTGTCAGTTCATGCTCGTAATTGTGAAATTTGCAATGTTCCAGAAACATGAATTCATAAAAGAAAAGGTCTCCAATACAATTTCTCCTGAAAAATTATTCATATCCACCGGTTAAGAAAAAACTTTCTTAAAGAATTTTTTTGCCTTTATTCTCACATAAAAAAGACTGATCCTTCTCTATTATTCAGCAGAGAATATGAATTGATAATGGCCCTTACTAAGAAACATGTGTATCCAGATAAATAATAAAAACTAATAGCTTAGTTCCACTTGAAAAAAATAAATACTTTTTTTATCTTTTAAAGTTAAATATAAACTCAATATCTTTAACTTTTTAATACAATTTATGCACATGGAATGTAAAGAGGTGTGTGTGTAATAGCATGAAACTTAATTTGTATTATGCTTTATCAAATATGGCATCAATTTTTTTGAATAGATGAATCTATGTTAGACTTTATGTCCACAGCTGTCTCTAACAATATAAGTTGGTTTTTCTTTCGAATCTTGTAAAGAATTGGATGTAATAGACTAACACTGTTAATTGTTTTGACTGGTTTATTATGACAGTTCTGTAGAAGAATTACATTCTATGTCTTCCAAATTTATAGCTGCTAATTTGGATGATTCATAATCTGAGTTATGTTGCGACTTGGTAAAAGAATCAAACATTAAGAATACAATTAAATGTCTGAATTTTTACTACTACTACTACAGAGGATTTTCTTTAACTGAAACATTTTAAGGACTTGCATAATAAATAAAAGAAAACAACAACATGGAAAGAGCTTTGTAAGAAAACAAGCCATTCTCCAAAAAATTGATTTTTGCTGTGATTAATTTCTGCACACATACAGAACAATTATCAATCTGATACTTTTACATATTTACTTATTCTTCTTGTTCCTGTGCAGTGCACAATGAAATTAGATAGAAGTCAGAATGCACCAACAGAAAAAAAAAACATACATACATACAATACAGATGAAACAAACAAACAAACAAAAATCTTTAAAACTGCAAACCTATTTATGAAATTTCTTAAAAGGAAACTTAAACATAAATCCACATCCTCTGATGGAAATAAAATTGCAACACCCTGAAGGATGGTGCCAATTTAGAACTGGGTACAGTATGCACATGCTATCAAGTACAAAATATTCTGATAACATTTTCAACCACAATGTGAAGTAGCAACACTCATAGCAAGTGTGATGAAAAAATCCAGGACAAGAAAGTGTTAAGCTATGGAGACTCATACATATTCAATGAGAGCTATTCAAGAGGAGTCAGACTGTGAGTCATCAAGAGGCCTTTTCACAGAATCATTGCTCATGTTAAATGCTAGACATTGATGGAGCTTTCATTATTGGCAACAATGGTCAAATGAATATTCCTACACCCATAGACCAAGTTCTGGAAAGCCATGCTCACCAAGATCAACAAATTTAATGAACAGCAGACTGCATAACATCTACAGCATATATCAAAGAAAATCTATCCTCAGGAGTATCAATAAAGACTCTTGTAAATTATTTACTTGCAGAAAGACTATGATTACACTTCAGCTAAACTTCTACTTATAACACCAAAATACATATATCTCTAGTAATGTTTCAAAAGGATCACATGAGGTACTGAGTGATACTCTGTTATGTTCAGTGAATAGAACAGGTTCTACTTTCATACAGTTATTTGCATGTGTAATGTAGACATAGACAGCAAAATCTTCCAGAGTGTATTTGCTCACAATGACACAGACCAAACATCTGGCATCATGGTATAGTGTGACATAAATTAAAAATTTCACTCACTTTTGGTGTTTGTAGAAGGAATTTTGAAAAGTACTATATATCTTTCTGAGATGAGGTATTCTAATTATTTACACTATTTACATTGCTTGGACTATTGTACAATGGCCAAAATATTGTGAATATGGCAACAAAGCTGAACACAATAGTCCAAACAATGTAAATAGTGTAAATAAGTACTATATATATCCAAAACATTGTTCAACACATATTACTCACTCATTTTACTTTTCACCAGACTCTGAATTAGGACACTTTGTGCCCTCTACATGCTTTGACAAACCCCTCAGCCACCTGATGAACATTCATGAATGTTCTCAAATTTACAAGCCTTAATAAACCAATGACATCCTTGTCTGTGTATATAAACATGTGCAAAATCCTACATTGCCTTGATAAAGTCCCTCAGAGGACAGAATATGTCTGCTAAGTACAGTTTTTCCTTGTGTCTCTTTTTATTCATTTTATCTCTTCTACAGATACACTCAATCTGAGAATATTTACACAGACACCTGTGTTTATGTACTCCACTATGCTGAGTAAAATGTAACACATGGTTGGTTTTATGCTAGGTGTGTGCATGTGCATGCACATGCACATACACACACAGAAAGTACATAAGAATAAAGGACAAAATTTGTCTTGTGAAACCAGTGTCACCCACTCATCAAAATACTCTAATCCACCCACTTTGAGGCAATAGTGGAGGTGCTGCCACAGGCTCACCTCATATGTTATGAACTACCCAGATATGAAACAGAGTTGCATCTCACTCAAAAAACAAGATGAGGATTACAACAGATACTACACTGATCACAGTCTGAAGAGCATGGAATACTGATATTCTAATGCTTAACCGAAGTGCTGATCCTTGCATAATTAATCCTGTCATTTTTAACAGGTACTATGCTAAGTTTATAATAAAGATGTGAAGTGTAAACCTAATTTAGTGATCATATGGTAAAACTTAATTTCCAATTAAAACTTTGAAATATTTAATACTTTACAGCCACCAGAGTTCATCAATGAATTGCCAAATCTTCAAAAGCTAAAATAGAAGAAATAATCTATTGATTATAAAAAGCATTTTATTTCTCATCTCAACTATCTCATAAATAATAAAAGGAAAGATAATACCATTATTATCTGGCTTAAGAAGGAAAGAAGTATTTATTTTTCATGTCACTCTCATAATAATCCAATGTAATGGTAACAATTTAAATTGTAATCTGAACATAAAAAATCATGGCAATAGGTTTTGGTGAATATATCAAATATTTAGCTGAATTTTCAGAACTCTTAACATTAGCAACATAGAGGATTAAAGGATTAGCAAGATTATCCAACTATAAAATGTACATACTTTCTTCAAAATTAATAATGAATGTATGCATACCAACACTAACATTTATGTACAGACTTAGTGAAGCCTTTATTTGGCACTACAAATGTTTGTTTCAATATAATTTTTCTTAATCAATGCACTTAATTCAGTGATGATTATTAACCACACAAATACAGAGAAAATTTCAGATCAAAATTCAACTAATAACTGTGTGTCAGGTTCATTCTCATATAACAATATTTGATATCGAATCTCACAAACAATGCACAAAAAACAAAATACAAATGCCTGCTTCTGCATAAATTGCATGTACAAATGGTTGCTAAAATGTTCTCAGCGTGATCAAAAAGAAAAAAATGATACATTATTTACATTATTCAGACTATTGACCTCATCTTTGTCGCCATATTTATTACAATGTTTCGGCCATTGTATGCTCTGGCCTTCTTCAGGTGGTTGGAATGTCAAACTGAACCCTTTATTTTGCTCACTGGGGAGTTCTCCACTGCCTTAACTGGGCATTGAACTCACACTCTTTGGATCCTGTCATTGGATCCAACTAATTCCTTTATCCACTGTGCCATGTGTCCTTGATAGGGGAATTAACAGGAGATAACTGAAACGTTGTAATAAATATGGCGACAAAGATGAGGAAAATAGTCCGAATAATGTAAATAGTGGACATAATACCTCATCTCAGAAATATAGACAAAAAAAAATGATGTTTAGAGATTTACTTTGGAAAATGGGTCAAGTACAATAAATTAACTGAATGTATTTGGATTTCATTTAAACTTTAATATTCTTTGTGTTTATTTTTCTTTCTAAAAAAAATCTTCAATGTTTTCAAATTCCTCCAGAGACAAACAGGCTATGGCTAACATCTTGTTCATTTCAATAATTGCATTAATATAAGCACAGATTCTTCTTATCCTTATGAAGATTATCTTATATAAAAAAAATAATTTCAGATACCAGCCATACTATTAAAAATAAACAGGAAGTCTACAGGCATTTATGTTTCTGCTTCATAAAAGTTATATATTCTAATTCCTATTTTGCTCAAGATTTGAAAAAACCATATCTCATTTTTCAAATAACTCCTATAAGCCAAAATGGTTTTGTAAGAACCAAATGATAAATTTAGTAGTTAACCATTAAAAGACACAACAAATTATAAAATTAAGTACAATAGATGAACAAGTAACATTAGCAATATGCTATATATAAAAGAAAGTATAAACAATATTTATTTTTCTAATTATAAAAATTCTTATATATATTATATATAAGAATTTATATGTGTGTGGACATTGAGTTCAACACCCTGCAGCAAGAGCTTAGATGTAATCGCCACTGTTGTTCACTTTTATATTTACATATGCTTTATTCCTGATATTCAGCACTTGAACCCATAAATATAGCATACCACATAACTATATTTTTATCATATTATTTTTATAGTGGGTGTGGGTATAAATAAATAAATGTTTCATTTATAACAAACATTAATACTACAGTATCTACCTAGCTCCCTAAGCTGTGTACATCATGCTTTAAAATCTAGAAAAAAAATTATTATACTAAACTATACCAACCACATATATACATTGAAACTGATTCTTTATCTAATACAATTGAGAACAAATTGATAATGTTGACATCAACATACATTCCAATGTCTTACAAGATATTCTCATTTATGAGCTTTTTTAAATGTTATAATCAGAAACAGAAAAAAATGCTGTCTAAAGCTAATATTACAAATTTATAATAACAAAATAAGTATGTTTTACTTACCAGGTGCTGAACAGTCTGCACAGACTTCAGCAGCTGTTCTTACTTTGCCTCTGGACATGTAAACGTTTTCTTTGTAGAACTTCCCTCCTTCGTCCTGATGATCAGCAGTTGAGTTTTCATTTGAAAAGAAATTTTTAAAAATATTAATAAAAAACTATTTCAAAATTTTATTTATTACAGTCTTTTATATATTGTGTGTGTGTGTGTGTGTGTGTTCCCATATACACACAGAGGGTGTGCCAGGTATTTGAGAACATGTCTTTATAAATGAAAGAAAATTTATTGCATGCTGCATAACACTATGTTATTCTCATTTCTTAATTGTATTTTCGTACTTCTATATTAACACTTTACACTAGCATAAAACCTTTTTTGCTACTCCTCATTTTTGTTATTCTTTCCTCCTGTGGTTTTAATATATCCATTTTAATCACTATTATTAAATTTTGTATATCTCTTTTAAAACATTCTTATTTCTTTTACAGACATAAGCATTAACATGGTAGTTTCGAATTTGACACAGAAAAAAAAGGCACACTGTAGTCATGGTACTAGCAACCAACCACAGCAACTGTAAGATAGCCAGTTTCTTGAACATGACCAGGTGAACAGGGGGAACAACAAGTGATTTTGAACAGACTCCATGGTGATCCACACTTTGATGATTCTGAAGATTGTGAACAATGAAGGTCATATAATGCACTTCATTCCACAGAGCCTTAAGTTCAATGCCACCGACTACCTCAAAGTGCCAGACAAGGTGATGAAGCTATTGATTGAGAGGATGGCCATAAATGTTCCAACAAGAAACTACTCTATCCCACAATTTGAAATGCCTAGAGAACTATATCAGGAATAGTGTCAAGAAGGATGTTAACCAATGGACTTGTTCAAGACCACCATCATGGACATGATACCCAACATGAGAACCACTTGATCCAGGAATACAGTTATTTCTAAGGCTGCATTGAAACTATTCTCAAAGCTGATGCTGATTTTCATGAAGAACCATTTTCTGTTTTTCTAAGCTGATACAAAAATTATTTTGAAAAATATAGTGATTTTTCTTTCTATCGAATAACTTTGTTTTTCTTTAAATTATAATTTGTTCTCAATTATTACCTGGGACATATATATATATATATATATATATATATATATATATATATCTTACTGCTCCAAATGTTATTTTTGTGGATACCCATATCTGAGCAAACACCTTGCTTTATTTTTTTTTTTTTTTTAAACAGTATGAATTTACCAATCCTGTGCATTCTGAAAATTAATAAAAAAAATAATGTGCTCTTTAACAGAGTTCTCTCAAATATGCAAGCCAGTAGATGCAATTCACACTGTTTAAAAAAGAAAAAAAATAACAAAAAAAACAAGGATAACCACAAAAATAATGTTTGGAGTAGTAAGAAATAGTGTTGAATGAAGAATCCATTGATTCTGCAAATAAATTGAACAATATAAATAAAAATCATTCAAAAGTGACAGTGAGCCAGTTATTTTTAATTGTGAAAGGACAAAAAAAGATCAATAGTATTGATAAAAATAAATACTCAGTTATTTGTTGCTAGCTTGTGCCAACTTGCTAATCTTTCTGCTAATTGTTTTTAAAAATATATATTTGTTATATAATTTCTGTGTGTTATGGGAGCAATTCTGTTATCTACATTATTTAAAACACACACACACATATATATATATATATATATATATATATATATATATATATAATAAATAAAATGCCAAATCTGCTACTCAGAGTTTCAGGCAATGACAATCATCAGGCAAAAATATACATATACACACACACATGCATATCAGTAACACAACCCAGGTTGTTTCTCTTAGACCATATTGCAATAAAATGGAGTAATATATTTCAATACAATTTCCAATGCAAATGTTAATACATGTATTCACTCCACTAATCTACTTGGTAGAAATGTCCATTAACACAATTACTAAATAATTAAAATGAAGAAAAAGCCTTTTTATCCATTTGTTTCTCCATGCTTGCCACTACAGCAGAAGCAGTCCTATATTCATAGATATATCCCCTTCATATGAATATAAACAGAATATTTTACAGGAAGTGTAGGAAGACAGAAGTGATTCAGTCAAGAAGAGAGATATTTATCAAGGATTCCTTTTTTCCATTAGATAGGTTTTCTTCTCTTTCATCAGTTGACAGTTTGTTTTTATAGTACCATTATTTTCTTGCTTCAGTTTTACCTTCTTCTCTAGTAATAAACTTGTTGATCTTCAAAAAATCATTATTTGACAAGAACTGTTTTAACTGTCAAAGTTTCTATGTAAACTGAAGGCAGTAAGATTACAAGCCAGTTACATAAAGTAATGTTATCCAGGATAAAATAGCTGTCATCATTATACCAAATATATATTATCTTTTTGAAAATATCTGTAATTACAAAAGTGACAAGAAAAGAAACCCAAAAGTTCAGATGATAATTGGAGACACCAAGACAATCACATCTCAAATCATTTTTATATTCAATGACTAATTATAAATCACTTTCGGATCAAGTTGATCTCACTAACCATCTTGATGTACATATCATTTTTTGTCATACATCAGTGGAGATCTAACACCAACAACAGGCTCAGCTCCAGAAAGTGTATCAACTTGTAATGACGCAAGTGAAGTATACTAAGAAGACAAGGAAAGCAAAATCTCATTCTTTCTTATGGGGACACAAAAAAAAAAGATTTGTTCTTTCCATAAACCACAGCTCTTGAATATTCATCAAACACACACACAAAATCAGTTATGCCAGATTACTTGAAAAGTAAATCTCATCATAAAAGGGCAGGTTTCAATTTCTGCCTTTTGAATGGCTAAAAAATTGGGTTGGGAGGAGGGTTCGGTTACTTAGCCAGTGTTTGACAAAAATGAGGAAAGGTGACAATTATCTCAGTTTCTTCACAGAAAATAAACTCCACAAGCTTTATTTATATTCTTCAGAGTTGTTAACAATTGTAAATATTCTTCTTTCTTGATGATTTAAGTATAAAAACTAGCCAAGTATACTATAATATCATCTCAAGAACAATTAGCTGAAAGAAAGTATAATCAGGATTAAATCCAAAAGGGGAATATTTTGTTGCCAATAATATTGGAAATTATTATTCACATTATTAAAGATTTGAGGCATTTATTTTTTTTCATTTATTTTTATAGAAAAAGGTGTTTTATCAAAACTTTTGAATCAAAAACAATTGCAACATAAGCAGTAGATAATATAAAAACCTGTGCGTGTGTGTGAGTGTGTCTGTGCAAGCATTCACCCACAAATCAGAAAGGCCAGAAATATAAAACCCAAACACAGACCCTAGAGAATGTACACTTTAAAGCTTATAAAGCAACAATATAAATTAAGTGGAACATTTTTAAAGTGGAATCACATATGGGTTAATGGTTATTCAATGTGTTTTAAGTTTTATTATTGTTATTATTAATAATAATATTCATACTCTTCAGAATATTACACATAAGTTCTTAAAGGTCATGGGAGGCGTTCTGCATTATTTAGCAATATAATATTGGCCTCTCCTGTTAAATAAAAAAGTAAAACAACTCAATAATTTATGTACAAAAATATTTGGAAATAAATCTTCAAAAATAACCTATAAATCTACAAAAATAACCGTGTTACCATAATTAATAGGACTGTATTTCATTTCATAATAATCATCAGGCAAAAACTGGTTGTATTTTCCATTCCATTATTAACCAATTTTAAATCTGATATCATTTCTGTATTTTCAATGTATGATTTTATAAATCGTATAAGAAAGTTGCAAAAGGAAAACAATACTTTTTTTTTTTTTTGTAGTTAATTAATTTTTTTCCATTCCAGGTTTTTATTTTTAACTTTTTGGGGTTTGTCAATTTAATTCTGATTTTCTTCTAAAATTTCTGTACATTTTATTTAACCAAGAAATATATTTTTATGTTTTGTTGAAAATAAAATTTATCAGTCCACAATCACTAATTCTGAATTCACTAAAAAGGACTAAAACAATAATTTTTTTTTTTTTTTTTTTTTGTTGGACAAAAAAATCATTTGATCCTTTTTTAAGCCAGTAAGATTATAAATCTCTCTAGGTAGTTATAAAGCTTTCATCATTTTAAATACCTTGCCAATTCTAAAAGCCCCCCAAAAAAAAAAAAAAAAAAAAAAAAGGTTTTTATTTTTTTCCAATTTTTCTTGAAGCTTCGCTTTCCTTTGAGTCCTTAACAAACAATTGCAATATTGTTTTTAAGAAAATTAAATAAGAAATATTAAATACACCTAAAAAAAAAAAAAAAAAAAAAACAATATGTGCAAATAATGCCTTCAAAATTCAAATTTTTTACAATTTAAAAATGAAGAAAAAAAACAAATTTTTAATAACAAATATTAATGTACAGTAAAAAATAAATAATATTCGAAATTGTTTTCTATTTTTTAATTTTTGTATGTTGTCGACCGATTATTGTGAAAATTCAACGAAATTGTTTTATCATGAGAGTTACACGAGGCCGTCTTTTCGTACGCTTTTTCGAAATCGTTAGCAACAAGAGCAAAATTTTGGCTAAGTAGGGGACACATTGACATATAAATGGGTTACGTAGCGCCATTTTTCTCCAACTCATCGTCAAAGAAATTTATTGAACGGAAAAGACTTCAATTCCACAGAATGACTGCTATCAAATTAACCACAATAAAGAAAGCACATGTTTGTTTTTCCAGCATTGTTATTGGATTCTTTTAAAGAACGTACACGTACCCAAGCAGGTTTTTATATGATTATAAAAAATATTTGTTTTTCTTTTTTATCTTTCACTTTCTTTATTTTGTTTGTTTTTCTTTTTTGCAGTAGCTGAAAGAAGACACCCTCTTGTAAAATCATAAAAAGCCTTGCACTACACTACTTCTTAGCCATTTTCTTAAGTTCTAAACTAGAAAGTGATTTTTGCTCGTAAAGTTTAGGAGTTAAATAATAAAATAAATAGTAAATTTATTTAAGAAAGACTGGGTTATTTCAAAAAATGTTATCTTAATGAAAGAAAGAAAGAAACGAATTGTACCGATTTAATTTGTTAAAGTTCTTACAAAATTTTCAAACCCTTGTACAAAAAAAAAAAAGAAAAACACTGATATCGCGCAAAAATCGGAGCTTAAAAAAGGGGGGTGAAAATTAAATCCCCATAAAAATTGACAGCTGGGAAAAGTTCATGATGAAAAAAAAAATAATTTCGAAAAATGTGTAGTCATCTTTCTTTATTCTCTCCTCAACTGCAACCAGTCATTGATTTTTTTTTTATTTTTAAGCATTTTTAAAATGGTGAGTCGTTGCTTCTTGTGCTGTAAACCGTGTGTTTAAAATTTGGTTAAAGCGAAATTCAGATTAAACTTCTTTACTTTTAAATGTCTACCTACTCTGACAAAAGAAAGTTAATTTTATTTTTAAAATTTAAAAATAAAAGTAGGAAGAGGGAACAGTAATATGACAATATCAATATTGTTACTTTTAAAGCTGAACATTAACACTAAAACTTTTAATGTGTTAATGTTCAGCTTTTAATTTAAAAGTAACAATACCACTTTTCTACAAAAGACTAGGACATTGCTAGTAAGAGTTGTCCGGGCATTAAAATATGATAAAATTTCATATTCAACCACAGAAATATATTTGAGTACAAAAATTTGTTTATTTCTACAATAGGCGACACATAAATCTCCAAAAAATGTTATATTGTCATCATCTTTGTAAACATTTAGTTATTTTTTTTTTTATATACAAAATAATAACTATCGTCGGTTCTAAGAGAAGCTTAGTTTTGGGTACAGGGTTACAACAAGTTACATGAGGTCACCTGGTGAGGATCACATTCACTACACACAGTAATAATGGTGAACAAGAATAGCTCTGGAAGCCATGTAGCAATTGAGGTTCAAGATTTGAAAAGTTGTGGACATTGTATAAAAAAAGAGAGAAACAGCGTGACGTCAATAATTTGCATTAGAGAAGATACAGTAAAGTAAACTAAACAAAACATCCAAATTCTAAAAAGATATTCCGAAAATTCAGCTAATTAACCGGATTTCAACAAAATTTAGAATTTACCATTAGGAATTTATTTCTGAAAAGTCAACTCAAATCAAACCCCCCTTTTATCGTCACATCACGAATCCCGGGGTTTATTTTTACACTAGTAGTTTTTACAAAATTTAACGACTTTTGTTAGGGTACTGTAGCAAAGATTACCCCATTAGGTTGGTAGGGAAAACCATAACAGCAGTGGAATGTCTAAGGTAAAATAACCTGGCAGAGCCCATCCCTCTTCAGTTTTCCTTCTCACCTTCTGCCAGACACACTCTCATATAGCAGAACGAAAATTGAAGTAGTTTCAACCTCAAGCCAGGAGAGCTTAACCCGCAGCTGGGGGGGGAGATGGATTACCTTTAAATCGCATTTTGTGCGAAAAATGAATGTTAACAAACTCAGCCGGAATTCAAACTAGGAAATTTCCCCGTCAAAATTTAACATCTTAAAATTAAAACTTGCAACAAAAATATACGTAAATTATTGAAATAGGCTTAATTTAAGTTAAAAATGTATTTAAAACGCCTTAAAAAAAAAAAAAAAAAAACTAAAAATGAAGGCTTTCTTTCGGTAAAAAGTTGAGAGCCAGGCACTGTTCAATTTTTTTTGAAGGAGAGGCAAATAGCAAGCGTCAAGAGATTATCTACAGAAAAAAAGTATATCCGATTCTCCTCAAATTATTAAGTACAACGTTACAATAAATATTTACATTATCTGCAAAGAAAGACGAATTACCAAGAAAAGAAGAGTAATGATGAAGATCGGAAGCAGAAAGAAAAAGAAAAGAAACTTTGTCTATCAAATTTGTTTAACATCAAGACCAAGATAGAAACATGGAAGGGAGATTTTTTTTAAAAATCCAACAGGTTTGAAGAAGAGAGATGTCTGGAAAGTAGAAGGGAAAATGTTGAGTAAAGATTTTGACAGAAAGACGAGAATCCTGCTTAAACTGTTTAGTCAAGTGTTTATTGGCAAAAAAAGTAGGAAAGAAGACCTCAACTAAGGGAGGTTAACATCGCTTTTTTTGTCAAAATGTGGAAATAAAATGTATTTTCGTGGTCAAATATCGAAATTAAATATTTATGTTGTTCAATATTGAATTTTAATTTAAGCATCCATCGATGCACGGAATTTGTCATTTCACTCTCCTCAACAGCGGCTCCTATCCGCTAACTTTTTTTTAGTTAAAGTTTAGTTTCTTTAAGCCATTTTGTTTGTCAAATAATCAAAAACATTCAAAATTTCACTATTTCCATAAGCAACAATTAGGCGAATAATAACGTTGAAATTAAATGTAATTATCAAAAAAATTAAGCGATTTTAAAAAGTACAATATTAGTTTTAAAGTGAAGTGGATTCGTTTTTTTTTAATTTAAGAAGTTACTCAAGATTTTGAGATTATTCAAGAAAGTTGTACATACACAGTTTTTAATAATACAAAGCTTTTCCATACAGCTTTAAAAAACTAGACAAAAAATATAAATTTGAAAAAAAAGTGCATTCATGTATTATTATGTACATTATGTTAAAAGTTCCAACTTCCGACTGTCATTGATTAAAAATAAAATATTTACTTTTTTTTCTACGATAATTTTTGTATGTACTAAAGAACAATTTTTTGTTTTGTTTTTCTTTTTAACTTATTTTTCCATTTTAATCTCGAGAGTGTTAATGTTTACTGACTTTTAGATTTTGTGGAGATTAAAAAAATAAAATTAATACTTCCTTGACAAGGAAATTTAATTTTTATTTTAAAATATTGATTAAGGACTTATTTGTCAAATGATCTGACCAAAAATTGCAACTAGTTTTGTTTTATTTAGACCAAAACAAAAATCAGAAAAATTCATATCTGGAATGACATTTTCGTTGTAAACCATTTTCGTTAGATTTTTGTCTTAAACTTAGAAAGAAGAAAAAAAAAGCACTATTGCATTCTCTACCAATTGCTTACAATTTTTAATGGTAGTGAAACGAAGGAAAAATTAAATTATCAATCAATACACTGTACGGACAGACGATCTATCATTTTTTTAAAATTTAAATAATTCAAGTTAAGAGAAAGAAAGATGTTTATATTGTTGATTACGTTTCTTTTCTTTCTATTTTTTTATCAGCGATATCAAAATTTTCCAAGATATTCATGATCTATTTTGAAAACAAGTAATAAAACTTATTGTTTAAAAAATACAATTGAATTGAGTAAACAGTGAAACTAAAAAAAACAATAACTTGTTCTCTAAGGAAATGGATAATGAAATCAGATTTCCCAAATTGTTTTTTAACGTACAGATGAAAAAAAAAAAAAGACGCTCGTCGTGGCAATTAATCATAAACTACACATTATTATCTTGCTTATTTCAGTTAATTTAATAATTATTAAACTTTTAAGTTTCATAGTAAATATAAATTATATTTCACAAACAGACTGAAATAAGCGCTTACACCAAAAAAATGCAATTGTACAGGTTTTAAGTTGGGTGCCCGGCCCCTTTCTTTTATTAATTTTTATTTATTTTATCAAATGAGTAAAAAATCTCGATTCTATGAATAAATAACCATCACCTTCAAATATTTATTATAAAATTAAACATATGAATAAAAATAAAACTAAGTGCAAATTTTGAAAAGTAAACAATATCATTTTATACTTTTATTTTTATTTTTCCTCTTTAGTCTTCTTGTTTCTCCAATTTTTAATCCAAAGTGCTACATTGCCTTTTTTTTTTACTCACCCGGACACTTCCTTTGAATCTTATTTTCTTCCCCCAAACGTTTGATTCCGAGGGGTGATCTCTTTCCCTAGGGCATCAAGAGGTAATCCAGAATCACACCAAAACAATGTGGTCGTGTTGAGACACAAAGAAAATCCTGAATTTTGTTTGGTGGGAGCGAACCCGTAAAGACCGGGGTGCGGTTAATCGTGCACTACACTTTTCCTTCTAACTTCTTTTCTAATTGAAGGGATCGGTCTTCTTCTAGCTTACAGCTACCATTCATACACTATGAGCTTTTGTTCCGTATTAAAACAACACCTGATATATTAACTCAAAACAAAATATAACTCAATGACCATTTCTAAATAAATATATATTAAATAAAGTAGCTTTATGTTATTTTTCTTTATCTTAATTTTAAGTAAAATATAGATATACGAAACTGAAATTTGTACAACAAAAATGTGGTTTTACACTACAGTTTAGTTAATTCCAATAATCTTGTATTCTGGAATGGTTAGTTTCGGTACAAAAAGATAATAAATTACAAAATAAAAATTAAATGCACATTTGGGTTTAAATTTTTAACCAAAATTATACATAACATCGATAAAATTTATGTGTAAAAATATTTTTCTGAACTAAATAATTTTGCCCTGATGTTCCTTTTTAGTTAGTTTCGTATATTGAAAATTTACAAGAAAGTCGTTAAAATAAATGTTACCAGGAGAATCTATCAAAAAATATTAAATCCCTTAGGAAAGTTCCACTCAAAGTCAACAGTTGTAGTAAATTGTTTTAATAGCTTAAAAGTTGAATAAAGCTAAGCTTTGTAAAAAAATAACTTTTCAGTTTTTTTTCTTTTTTTACTATATTTGTTTATGTTTTTGCCTGTAAAACTGGTTAAGTGAAGTGAAATCTTACATCTATTACCGAGTTTTCTAAGCAAATGACACAAATAAACAATGAAAGTAAAAAAGAAATCAATTATTTAATTATGTATGTAACTTGTAAAATATTGTAAACAGAGTCTTCCAATTAAAATTCAAGTGAAAATTTTATCCCAAAATAATAGTTTTTGTTTTTCGGATACAAATTAATAACTGTCAAAATTGGATTTTTTAAAAAATATTCTCACGACACACATTTTGAATGTTTCTAGTTATTTCCTAGTTTTAAAATTCCTACAAAAATAAAGTACGAGACAGACACTTTTTTTATTTTTTCATAAAATGCTTCTGACAAATTCTTTTTCAAAGTCTTCAAAGCAGTTGACATTTTTTAAATAAAAAATAGAAAACAATTTCTTGTGTTACTGTAGTGTAGTGTAAAAATCGATCTTAATATTTTTAGAATTATGAGATATTTGATTTACAATACTTTATAACACAATTTCTGTTTTGTTTTACCAGAATATTGTTAGTTGTCAGAAAATGATGTTTTTCCCTACATGGAGGTCTAAAATTTATTTCATTCGATACTAATTTGGCACAGGATATTCTTGCCGACTCAAAATATCTACTGGAAACCCGCTCTCTCAGACTGCACTTCAAATAATTATAATTTATGGTATCTGCAGGTGTCTAGAATATTTTATGATATTCTGTGGCTGAAAGAAAGTGAAGGTAATCCATAAAGAAAGAGTAGTAAATTCAATAAGTCTCTAAAAAGTCTTTATCAGTTGTTCCCAAGGTTTTTTCTTTTATTGCAGCCCTTTCTTTTGTTTATTAAATTTTCTTAAAATAATTAAAAATTCTGATTTCATGAATTCAAATAGTTAAAAAATACTATAAATGCCAAATAGTTTAAAAAAAAAAGAAGAAATGCAATGGATAAAAAATGTTACTACATATTTTTTTCATATTTTCTTATTCATAATTATTAATATAAAATATATTAATTTTATTAGAAAGTTATATTATTTAGTCATCCCTAACAAGACTGCATAAATGACTTTGAATTCTGTCAATGCTGGAAAGTGGGGATTGTGCAGTCACAGACCAGACATGATAGCACTAATCTATTTTTTGTCTAATTTGGGTCTTCTAAAGATAAACATGGTAGAAAGAGTCAAATATATTCTGGAGCAGTACAAAGAGCCAACCATAAGTCATTTAAAACAAATATGCAAGTTAAGCAGTTTTCCCTCTTAGTCTTAACCATAACTGCTTTCAAAGAAATTTATTTTTCATAATGAAAATTATCAATTTATTTTTAAATAATGAACATACATTTTTTTATGAAGTAATGGAAAATATAACATTCTTTCTGGTTTTGAGAACTTAAGACATGTCATAAAAATAAACTGGTTTATTCATGATCACATCAATACAAAGATACATTTAAAACAGATGAAAACCCATTTAAATGCACACACAAACTTATCAGACGCCACCTGAAACATACTAGTAGAAAATATAAGCATAATAACCTCATCCATATGTAAAAAAAGATTAAAAATAATGGGAGCCTTAATAATAAAAAAGAAAAAGCCAACACTCAACAATATTAACTATGAACAAGGCCACAATATGCTGTGTTCAGAAAATAAAACATCTCTATAACTCTAGAAACATACACCCAACCCATACACCCAGTCAAAAAGCAAAAATAAAACCATCCTTGATAATGGCTAAAAGTATAGCTGAAAGCACTTGGAATTACAAAACATTTGGACAGTTTCTGCCACTCTGTGCCCAGAAAAGAAAAGACACTTGTTACACTTAATCGCAGTACCTTGTCTGTCTTCTTTAATGAAACATGTATGCACACACACAAACATATACATACATATACATATATATATATATATATATATATATTCATGTTTCATTACCTAGTAGCTTGGTTTTGTGATGTTTTCATAGTACCAAGTAGTTACATTTTTCTGGGAAGGTCAGTTCTACTTATACACTCTTGTTACACTGACTAGTTTCTCTCAGTGGTGGTTGCTGTAGTAATGAAGGAGTTAACAATAAAGGGAAGGAAGACAATTATTTCAGGCCTCTATACATATTCAAGATTTATTCATGTCCTAAAAAGTGGATATTTCACTAACATAGGTGCCTCTCATCATAAAAATTGAGTTTCTGCTGAGGCAGTTGATACAAACTGCTAAATTACTAACTAGTTAAGAAAGAGGAGAGAATGAAGAGGCTTGGAGTCCAGTGTAGTGGGTGCGTGCAGGTAGTAAATCCCAATGTTGTGTCTTGATTGAATCTTTGTTATTCACTTTTGGATTCTTTTATTTTCTGAGGTCTATCTCTTGACAGTTTTTGCTGGTTTTGCTATGTCACAACAGAATTATTTACCAAGTGTGAGTAAGTTGCAGAAGGAAAAGAAGCAAAAAATGTATTTTTGTGTAGCTATCTTTGAATATGGGAGTGGGGATATGTAAATTTTATAATTTTGCTTTTGTTCACTATAGGCAAAAGTTATTTTGTTTTTGTTCACTATAGGCAAAAGTTATTCATCAGTTATTAAGCCAAGGAGTAAATAATAATTGTAGCAGAAAAAGTGACAGGAAAACTTATTTAGATAAGAAGAAATAATTAATCATTCTTCTGTTTATAATGAGAATAAGAATATAATGGATGCAAGGACAATTTATCCTTATTTCAAATTTGAATTCATTGCACAAAGCTGATTGGTTAATGGATGTACTTTTTTGTAACAATAGCAGTGAACATGACCTTTGAAAAGAAAAGGGCTAGAAATAGATATGGCTAGGATAGAAAACATTCCAGTTTCAAGAAAAAACATGAACAATACATATTTAGTGTCTATTTACATTATTTACAGTTGTTAACATCAAGTCTGGCCAGTACCTACATAGGTGACCACTTGAGAATACCAGGTGTTGTAAGCTTGAATGGGTAGGGAATGTAATGGATAATGGCTCAGAATTGTTAATCAGAGAGTCGAGTTCCAATTCTTATTAAGTTCATTATATTCACTTATGTGCAAATACCTCTTCCCCCAGCTATGGGTTAATTAGTAAAATTTGTATCATTAAACCATTATTATATCCCCCAAAAGCTGTTGTGTCTTCCAACCTTCTTCAAGTATCTGTTGATCCAGGTAACCTCCAGGCAATTTCAAATTGAACCTTTTATTTAATCTACAAGAGTAAATTGTTCTTGGTCCACCATCCATGTCTAGGGATAACTCATTTTTTTTCTATTTTTATTACTGCTCAGTTATTCAATTGCTAAGCCTATTTCCATAGAGTCTAAGTTTGTGCTACTTGGCCCACAGATCAGTAGCTGAGTGCATTCAAATGTTGTTTTCAACAAGGTGTCAGCTGCTAATGAGAGATGTGTCAGAATTAAGCAGGTACAGACTGTGTGGTGTAATAACAAACAAAATGGAAAATGTAACACAGAAATCTGATCTTGCATTGGATGACATTCAGAAACTAAGCAAAGTATTAAGAGATAGGAAAATTTCATTAGAAGCAAAGAAGAGTGCTGAACTACTACGCCATATCTATATATGACAGATAATGCTGAACAATTTCTTTACAGATGAAGATGAGGCTAAAATACATGCTTCTATAAAACCATGGACTGAACATAAACCAAAAGAAAATGGGAACTAAAAGGACACTTATACTTAAAATAAGGAAATAGTTGGAATAATAATAGGACATATTATTAAGAAGGAGGGCCTGGAGAATTTAACACTCATAGGATATATTGAAGACAGAAGGGTCAAAGGGAAAGAGAAAGTAACCAACCTGATGACCTTGTGTGAATGGTTGGCAGAGCAGAGATAAAAGGATATGATAAAGAGTTAAATGTTGACTAGAGCTACAAGGAACAGCAAGTTGTGGAGAGCCTGCCATGATCACTTATATTTTGAAAGGATACAGCACATAAAAGAAGAAAAATGTTTTAACACTGATCTATAAATAGCAAGATAGAATATATATATTCTATCTTCCTATTTATATTTAACATGTCTCTCACAAAAAATAATTTACTATTTATAAGAACAAAAGAGTTGAAGAGAATAATGGACAAGATATTGGAAAATGAAAATAATAAAACAGTTTCAGACATATAAATATTGATAACAAATTGAAAAAATTAACAAAGAGAAAAACTGGCTTTAAGAGTGTTGCAAAAAGTGATTTGTGAAAAATGGATTGACCAGCAAGAAAATATTTGAAAAAATGATGCTATAAATTTGAACAAAAACATGATATAAAATATTAAGAACATTGGCTGAAGACTTGAAAGTAACTAAACTACCACATTTAAGTAAACATCACAAAGTGAAAAATTTTAAATTGAACCCTTTATTTTATCTATGTGGGTAGATTGTTTTCATTCCATTGTCCATGTCTAGGGATACCTTGTCTTGATATCTCTTTAGTACTGTTCAGTTATTGCTTTCATTTTTTTCACTGCACCCAAACCTGTACTACCTGGCCCAGAAATTGAAATTACACTTACTATACCACCAAATTCATGAACCAATGCTTCCACTAGGAAGACAGAAATAACAATAGTATCTCATAAATCTAATATATATATGTGTTGTGGAAATCACTATCATCTAGATCTGTTCAATGCAAATTGCTGGCATGCAAATCTGTCTAATTCCAATTGCACACATGTGAATGTCTAATAGAATTGAAAGGAAAGTTTAGAACTTTCCAGAATGCTCCAATTGCACTGCTATATAAGCTTTGTACTTGCCTGTCAAACACTGATGGAGAAACAGTTAATTAACCTATTTGGATTATTGCTGCACTTTTCCTGCAAGTGAATGAGAGAAACACAACAAAATATATATATACAAGGTAACCAAAAAAGTTCTGTCCATTTTTAAAGGAAAAAAGAAAATGCTTCCCAGTATGTGTAACTTATATTTAGTCTTCGAAGTAATCGCCATCAGCATCCAGCACCTTCTGCCAACGTGTCTCCAGCTATTCAATGCCCTTGCAGTAGAACTCATGGGGTTTTGATGCAAAGAAGTCCGTGAGGGCTTTGCGCAAGTTTGCTTCATTGGTGAAGGATTTCCCACAAAGATGATTATCCAGGGAGTGGAAAAGGTGATAATCAGATGGCGCAAGGTCAGGTGAATAAGGTGGATGGCACAAAGTCTCCCACCCAAGTTGCTGTATGGTATCCCTGACCACTCGCACAACATGCGGCCTGGTGTTGTCATGGAGGAAAAGCACACCTTTGCGATTCACCAGTGCTGGCTCCTTCTGGCACAATGCCTGTTGCACACGTTTCAATTGCTACGAGTATAAGTCTCCAGTGACCTTTTGGCCCATTGGTAGTAGTTCATAATGAACCACTTGACGTCCTGTCCACCAGACACAAAGCATAATCTTGTGTGGGTGCATAGGCGGTCTTGCGGTGTGAGGGACAGCATCATGAGGAGACAACCAATGTCTGGAACGCTTGGGAGTTTCATACAGAACACACTTTTCATCACTGGTAAGCACCCGATTGAATAAGGATGCGGTACGGTGGCGAGAAAGCAGTGATACTGTCACTCGTCGTCCCTTGTGGACCTTCAACAGTGTTTGTGGAACCCACTTGCTCAGTTTGTACGTCTTACCTAGGTGGTGCAGGTGAAGTCTAACTGTTTCATCGGAAATGTTGAACTGTCTTGCAAGTTCACCACACGTTAGACTACTGTCCTCTTCAATGGCCACCTTCAGGACTCCATTATTCAAGACCTGTGGTTGTCCACTGGGAGGCTCATCATGGAGAGACAAATCTCCTGACTTGAATTTTCGAAACCAATGCCTTGTAGTACATTCATCCACAGCACTATCTCCAAATGCTTGACATATGCAGTGACTTGATACAGCTGCTGATAAGCCCACTTTGAAGTCGTAAAGCAAACAGCCCCGAACGAGATCTCTAGACACTTCCATCCTTCTCACAGCTGTCTGGCTTATAACTGATGGCTGGGCACGGTGCTCATGTTTTTTATAATGTCTGATGTTCCTACTTCCGGCTGTCCGAATTTGAAAACAATTGCTACACGCATTTAATATATATTTCAACTTCATTCAATGACTAATCAAAAACAGAACTTTTTTGGTTACCTTGTATATATATATATATATATATATATATATATATATATATATATGTGAAAAGTGTGTGTATATAATATATATATATATATATATATATATATATATATATATATATATATATATATATATATATATATATATATATATTATTATTTATGCGTTACTTATTAGAAAGTGCTCAATATCAGAGATAGAGCTAACATATTTGGTTGGATTGATGTAATCCAACTAAAATATATATATATATATATATATATATATATATATATATTTATGTGTGTGTGTGTGTGTGTGCAATAAAAAGAACTGATTGATCTCAATGCAAGGACCTTTTAGAAGTCAGTCTTTATTAAACGGTATATTTATTTATTTTCATCTACTGACTTGAAAATTTAAGAAATCTTATTAAATTCAAATTATTTATTTGCGTTTATAAGGCACTATTCAACTTGAACATCAATGAACTTTGTAACCAAGATGGTCTAAAACATATCAGATCTAATGATGGTTTCTGCTAGCCAGGAGGACACAAGTTCAAATTCTGCCAAAGAACTCTTATTTTTTTTTAATAAGCTCTCTTGAATATTCAGGCCAGTAAACGAAAATAATTAAATATACTGTTTAATAAATAGACAGAACATCTACTCAAATATGGGTATTTACTAAAATAAAATTTAACATGAATTTGCTGCGATGATTAGTTATTAATTACATATTCAAGATATCTTATTTTCTAAAATTAAAGAAAAATATTCATATAAAAAGCGCCTTAGTTCTAGGGATTAAATTTTATAGAATTTCATTGAAGACATCTTTTAGTGAGTTTAATTATTAAAGCGAATTGGTTCTAAAGTTTAATATGATAGAACCAATTTGCTTTCTTGATTATGCTATAGTTATCTCCCTTGCATTATTTTAACTTAATCACTGACACATCAATTAGAAAATCAGTGAAAATCTCCAAACTTGGAAATAAAATATAAAAATAACAATATCATATTCTACTCTAAATTGCAAATACTACATTTTTTTAATTTGTAGAAAGCTAGTATGACTACCTTTACAAGCCCATAAAAATGAATTTAAAATTATTAATTATAAAATATTTATCATGGAATTACAAGGTAAAAAATACCCAACATCAAAATTTTTAAAAGTTAAAATTTGTTTTTGGAGTGTGTGATTGATTCATTTGCAGGTTATTTAAAGCCAGAAAATATTTTAGATTGTAAGAATTTTTTTGAGAAAATAATGATTTACTGATACAAGTTCTACTAATTAACCCATAGCTGGAGGGAGAAGTGGAGTCATACTTTTCCCAATGGTATTTGCACATAAGTGAATGTAATAAACTTGACTGGGATTCGAACTTGGCTCTCCAATTTTCAATTCTGAACTGCTGTCCATTACACCCCTGCACATCCAAGCTTACAGCACCTGGTATTCCCAAGTGGTACCCATCTAGAAACTGACCAGGCTCAACATTGCTTAACTTTGGTGATCATATGAGAACCAGTGTTTCAACATGAAATGGTTGTAAGTCTTTTGCAATGTGTGTGTGAGACAAAAAATAGGGAAATGAAAGAAATAAAATCCTGTGGTTTTCATATATTCTTAATTAAAAGCAATATTTTTTTTACAGTATGGTTCACCCTGTACAAGGCCCAGGTGTCACTCAAGGTAGAGGGTTACAAAGTAAGAGGCACAGTTTATGTGGGAACAATAATGGTTAAATCTAGACTTGAACAGGTTAAGATTGTAGTGATCAGGAAAACATCCTCTTGGAAATTGGTTCCACAGAGCAGTGGTTTGCTGGAAGAAGCTGCTCAAGTAGAACTTATTTCACACCAATGGAATACAGAGGGAATGAGGGTGGTTTGCTATAATGCACATAGCATGGCAGGTGTTAGCCATGAAGGCTAAAACTGGTAGAACTAAGGAATGTCGTTCATCTGAGCACTTTCATGGAAATAGCAAGAGAGCAGTGAGAAACATTTCATCTGAGAGAAAGGGGTTGCAGGGTGAAAGAAGAGGGGCAATGCAGGACGACCTTTCTAACTGGAATGTTTTATTTTCATTGATCCCAGTAATGAATTTCACCCACAATGATGCGGAGACACTTTTGGGCTCTACTGGGACTGTAAAGTGGGGACTGGGCAGTTCCTGCCTAAATATGACAGCAGGAAATTAAAACAATAAAAACTCAGTTGTCATTCCAAAAACATTTTTTTGCTTGTTTTGTTGCATCAATGTTTTAATGAATCAATTGAAGTAAGCCATAGAATGCATGGACCAAAACTTTATGGTAACAACAAAAGTAACAAAAAGAAAAAGAAAAAAAACTGATGGTATTTCCTCAAGTTGAGTTATCATCAATAACATTCAAAAGAAATTATGATTGTGAAGAAAATATTTATAAATTGTAACTTAAAAAACAGATATTATTTAAATTTGTTTGCTGACAACCCAAACTGATTGTTTTTCTATGAAGAGATAACCTTCATGCCTGCAAAAAATGGTATGTGAAAAGGACATTTATTCCTTTGACATCACTCACTATTACTGTATACATCTTTGACTCCCTTGGCAATGTTTATTTACAAGATTATAAAAATATGAGAACCAAATCATTGATAATACATCTCAGCTGTCATCAAATCTTTAGTTACAACAAAAGGCAAAGATGATTATTTTTGATGTCTTTCATTAGATAATATTGCACAAGTGATATCAATATTTGTCTTTAGATGGGATTTTTTGATATAATACCACTTTCAAGTGATGATAGGATATAGAATATTTCAGGAATATAGTCTATAACAGAGGCATATAAACAAGTTCAGGCTGCAAATCCCCATTAGAAGAGGTAACCTTTCTAACTGTCTGGAATGGTTTTTCATTGATTCCAGTAATGAATTCAGTTTTTTTTTTAGTTTGGAGATAAATGAGTTTAAAGCTTTACAATAATCATTTAGTTTGAAGAATTGACCAATGATTCATTCCATGAAACAAATTTTTAAGTTTTGTAATCATTAATGACCTTTTTTGACAAGTTAAACATTGCATAATTTCACAAAACCTTCCAAAATTGATACATGTATGAGAAAAGGTATTCATATTAGGGAAAAGTTTTCATATTACAGAAAATCTGTTTTATTGAATTCCTCATCCCCAAATTAATAAACTTTCAGGTTTGTACTACCTATGGATACTTGTTTTATGGCAAGTTCAGGATGGTATACTTTTGACCTGTTTTTGCCCTTCTGTCAAATCGTGCTACTGTTTTTATTGCTAAAAGATTTTATTGAAAAAAAATTAGCTCCATCTGTGTTGTGCAATGAATGATAGCAAGAAATTGCAAAGTATTAACTTTTGAAATGAAACACTCAAATATGAACACTCAAATGTGCCCTTATATGTCATATTTTAATTATTTCATTTTTGAGAGCACAATTTTTCCCAATGTTTAGGCCGGTCAGATCTAATAATTATTGATTCCATTAACATTATCTTTCTTTTGCTTCAAGGCTACCTATATAACATTAAATTTATGATTTTTAATTATTCTGAAGCCTGCATCTTATACACTGTTAAAATTGGCTTCTGGCCCAATAGCAGACAAGACAGAAAATGGACAAACTTTGAATGATCATAACTTCATTGCTAATTGAGCAAACAAAAAATTTTGTACCACTTTTTTATAGTTTGTCAAGCTCTCTGTGCCTGTATTAAAGGTTTTTAGATATATTGAAAATAAAATTTTAGTGTTGAATACCATTCTGTATCTAATGCAAATGAAATTTTTATTTCCTAGAAAGAGAACCTGTAGAATAGTATTGCAATGCATTACATGTCTTCTCCCTGATTCTGAAAAGAAAACGTGAATGTTATAAAAGGCTGTCTTTACTCACAAGTCAGGTACATCATGTTGCAAAGGATTGTCTCTACTCAAATCCAAGGCACATATTCTCTCTCTGGTGTCTATAAAAAGTTTCCCTCTGTAAAGACTGGTCTCTATTAAGAGTCACTACTAAGAGCAGTGCCTACTAAATGGGGTAAAGGATGGAAAGTCATCCTAACAAATGTATGACTGAATAGAAAAAAATAATCACAATAGAAGGCATTTGGGCTATTTAACCTGCTGACCCCTACATTTCAGTTCCTCACAAACAACATCAGATGGTAATATAGTTCATAGGTATACCTTTAACCAAAAAACATCAGGTAGATTTCACCTTGTTTTATGCAACATTTGTAAGAGTATTGAGCATAGGAAGATTTAAATTTTTCTCACATCTCTGAATAACATCAGAAGTTCAGGCGAATAAACATTTTTATGACTCCAACCTGAAGGGCAATAACTTGGCAGTTATAGCTGTAAATCTGTTCACAAATAATTTTTGAGGAAGCTTAAAAAAAATATTGTCCTATTAGGTGAAGAGTTGTAGCATACAACATCTCCAACAATGAACAATTCATTTCAACTTTTGCAGCAGTACAAAGTCTTAAAGGGATCAAGGGCAGATGTTCCAACTAATTTGATTCATCTTAAAATAGCATGCAAAGCAGTTTTTAGATTGCAACCATTTACTTCTGAGTGGTAAGAAGTTGTGTGAATTTTCTTGCAACCTAGCATCTTCGTCATTTGGCAGAAGAGATCCATTTCAAATTGACATCTTCAGTTATCTAAAGCTTGTGTAACTTTCAGCAATAGCAGTTAGCACATTGGCATAAAGCACTCAAAAACATGGCAAACATGCTGTATGTGCTCTTTCATAGAATCACTAGCTATGAAGACATTGTTCATAAAAGTGCATACAAAAAGTAAATAACAAAATATATGGTTGATTAAATGCTGAAAGGCTGGTGCAGTATTCCAAATGCCAAATATATTCAGGTTCAACAAAGATCTGTTGCTTGGCCCTGATATGGTCAAACTTTGTAAAAAAACTAGCTGGAATATCATGAACATAGAGAATATGATGTTGATCCAATTTAGTGACCAAATTCAATGCCCAAACAGATTAATAATCTCAAGCTCTAATATTGATAGAAATAAATTAATCCAAAAGTTTACAGAAAAAGGGATCCGCTACATAATTCACTATGGCAAGGCATAAAGAGAAAGTACAACAAACTGAGCCTGATGACTCAAGGTGGGTGGGTGTGTGTGTGTGTGTGTGTGTGTGTGTGTGTGTGTGTGTGTGTGTGTGTGTGTGTGTGTGTATATATATATATATATATAGGTGTCTGTGTGGTAGTTTGAATTCCTTTGTCAACATCCTGATAGTCTTTGAAAAATTGGAGGTTTGAAATGGTCTAGCATGATATCATGTGTAATGGCTATTGGGAACAAGGCCAAACAAAAAGAATGCAATTTATTTATTTATTTCATTAATTTATTTTTTATAATGCTAATATATGCACCCATTAATTCTATCATATGCAATTCAAGATGCCATCTCCTGTAGTGAATGATACTTAATTCAAGCTGTTTATTTTGTATAATAATAACTGAGTGTTTTGAGTCTTGCATTGGGTGCTGTAGAGTATTTTGCTATTATCTACTAATATTTGTCTTATGTATGCCTACACTCTATCACCAATTATCCCCAAATAACAAAAATAATATGATCGCAATACAAACTTTTTATAAATAATACCAAATAGTACTTAATCATGTTTGATTTTTGTAGATATCACTTTCAATACAAAACAATGATGCAAAAACCATTCAACAATATTGTCTACTTGTCTTTGTTCTAAAAAGACAATTAACATCTCTTATACATCTGATGACACTGAAATGTCATTCCCATGTTCTTTAGAATATATCATAGACTGTTTTATAATAAAAAATCAACAGTTTGATTGATTGATTGATTATTTGATTGATTGATTGATTTGCTTTTTTTTATGATTTATCAACACCTTGGAGGTTATTTAAAGCTGAAAGTTATTTGGGATTTTAACAATAATTTTCTTTTTTGAGTGAATATTGCATTAACAATTTTGTGTGATAACAGTGATTTTTTCAGATACAAGTCCCACTATTTAACCACTAGCTGTAGGGGGAAGTCATGGCTGCATACCTTTCTCAAGGGTATTTGCACATAAGTGAATGTAATGAACTGAATTGGAATTTCAAGCTAAGCTCCCTGATTTTGGACCACAGATCTTTTGTATCTGGTTCAACACTATGCAAACATCTCTTATAATTAAGACTACCCATAGAAGAGAACATGATTAAAGACTGTGTGTACACTGTCTGTAAAAAGAAATATAAAGGAGAAAAAAATGTAATCGTTTTTGTTTGAGCTTAAGTGAGATTGGTCTCAGTTCTCTATAAATTGTGTTAAGCATCACATGGAATCTTCAACTAATTTTCTGGATTTTTCTAAGTAGATTTGTATATGTTCCATCCAGTCATCTTTCAAGATGAGCAGATAATGTCCAAGTTTCTAAACTTATCTTATCCCTTAACATAAGACTGCAAGAACATTGTAAAGTCATAACATAAGGGGAAATAGAAAAATC